CTGATTGTTTTGCTTTGTTAGCAGCAAGAAAAATTATATTATATAAAAAAAAAACTTGAAAAATTCTGCTATACTTTTAATATTAGTTATATATTTTATATAGACATTATTTACATTAGTTAATCATATCTAGTTATAAAACTGAAGTATAATTGATTACACACATTACATTTCAGAGTCCAAATTTGTATGATTTTTAATAACATGATTTTAGTAAAATAAATGTATTAAATAATATACTGACATGCATACGATTTTTTATTGATATTGTTTTGTTTTCTAATATTTGTTTCATTTTTACATATAGTTTATAATTTTCTCTAGTATGTAATGCTAGTCTCAAAATTCCGGAAGTCACAACTAGATAGATCGCTTGGCAACACAGGATTCTTTTACATGAAGTGGTCTTAAGAATGATTTTGACTTAAATGATTTTATACGCCATTTATTAAAAAGGAAGTTTCTAGTGCTTTTCATTTTGAAACTTAATTCAATATTTGTATCATTTTCTGATTATACAAAGCTTTGATTAAATATTATCATACAAAATAATTGTTATCTTTAATGAATTTAAAAGTGTAATGATATTTATAATTAACTTTTATTATGCCCATGTGTGTCTGTATATAATACATTCCTCCTTTTTTTAGGCTAAAGGGGAAATTTGCCCAGAAGAGCTTTTCATTTCATTCTGGCATTTTGTGCTACTTCATTATAAACAGCGAATCACTTTTGAAATTGTTGCCACCAAATATTAGAGCCCTGTATTATATTTAAAGAAATTAAATAATGAAGAATCTGCATAAATGTATGTATGTTTCTCGCATTGCGATAAAACAATGATACTTAGAGCCATCAAATTTTGAATAATGGAATCCTCCACTGAATACGGCATCTGGAAGCCCAAATTTGGAATTTGTTTCATTATCGATTTCATATTTTGTAACACTTTAATGAATTTTTGATTAACAAACTCAATGATTTCAAAGCAAGCAATGGCAACACTATATGGGAAAAAAAATATTTCCAGTGCGTGTGAGTGTATAGGAAATTCTAAAGATATGCTCATTTTAAAATTATTTTGCGATACTGCTGTTGAATTAAATTTTATGGTTTAAGTGTGAAGAGCATGATATTTAATAAACAAAAGTTACACACAAAGCATTAAAAAACTCCCCTTTGGACGCAATGTAAAATCTGGAAGCTTTCAGTTTTTTTTTTTTTTTTTTTTTTTTAAATATTATTTATCTCTTTTTTAATCATCAAATGGCTGGACAGTTTGCATTGCATTATAAGGCCCCACATTTACCCCCTTGCTTGAGAAGAAAAAATATGTAAATAAATAATAGAAAAAATATGGTTCTGAGCAATAATTTAAATATTATATTACAGTCAAAAGTCGTTAATTCGGACACCCATAATCCGGAATGATCTATAATCCGGACCGCAAAGCTAAAAACTTTCTGCGCATGCGCCGCGTTGACACATGCGCATAGGTGTTTACGTGTGCGCGTAAGACCTTTACAACTGCGCATTTGCGTTTGCGGAAGCGCAGAATACGTTTTCGCGTGTGCATTTAATGTATAACGGATGGTATAAGCTAAAATTATCTATTTCAGTTAATGTTGATGATTGCGTTGTTCCTTAATCTTCGAATTCGATACGGCTTATTATTTTTTGCAGACTGTAAGAGCAATGTTATAAAAGTAAACTTGAACTTTCAATTATGTCAAATAGAATTTCCGATGCTGGAGCTCCCAAAGGATCTACAAAATGAAAGTATGTTTCGATGTCTATCAAACAAAAAGTGGAATTGCTGCACAAAATGGATAAAGATACGAAGAAGATGACAGAGAGGTTAGTGAAAACGAAAAAATTTCAATTGACAAGTTAGTCGGTATTCTCGGTACAGCAATTACGGGACTTGAACAGCGGAACTTTGTAACTGAACAAGAAATTATGTCTGTTTATAGAATTAAAGAGAAAGTATTATCACATAAAACGAAGCAACTTAAACAACTTACATTGAAAGAAATGTTTAATAAAGTAAACAAATAAATATTAAGCCTTTTTTTTTTTTTTGTAAATTTTGATACCCTTTAGATCATAATTGTTCTTTATTTCATAAATTACAGTTTCATATTTTTAATTTTAGAATTTCTGCATGCCATCTTACGAGATTTAAACTGATGATCTATAATCCGGAAAAATCGATAATCCGGAATCGCCGAAGTCCCGACGAGTCCGGATTAACGACTTTTGACTGTATATGCATATTTAGCTTCATTTGTATGTCAACAATAACTTTCTTTGATAATATGTATAAATATGCATTTATGTATATATATTTCCATACTTGCTATGAGCTCTGCTTTAACATGTATGAATTCAGATGCATTTAAAAGCGAATTTCAGTTTCTAATAGCAATAATCCTAAAAAAATTAATATATTTATCCTGAAAGAGCAGAAAAACAAAACAATCTATATCATCAATACAGATTAACATATTACAAATGAATAAGAACTCTACCCCACTTTTCACTAAATTTTTAGGATTATTTAAGTATTTACTTTTACTGCAGAAATAATAAAATATTTATTTTCAATAAATTGTTATTAATAAATTATTATTAATCCCCTCTAGCAGCCCTACGGGTTCTCTTCTTATAATAGTAGCCTTCTGAGTGATGAGGGTTTTTAGATATGTCATGAAGATCTGTATTTAAACAGCATTTAGTAGCTAAATTTGTATAATTACTTAGTTTAGTACCTATTTTCATAAACTTACATCCATCAAAATAAGATTTACATTATTAAGGAAAGTAAGAAAGCAATATATCTAAAATTATGAGATAATATATACTAAGGTAAAAAAAAAAAAAAAAAAAAAAAAAAACCTCATGACTGGATATAGTTGGTCACATGCTCAGAAAGTTCTTAACAGATAACAGCATGCAGAAGCAAAGGCCTAACACACTCTAACAAATCATAATAATTCTACCTGAATCTTCAAAGAAACATGTGGTCTGGTATTGCTATGGTATAATAACAAAATACCATTTCTGTAGGCGTCTTCCTATCTGCTTTGGCACACTGTGAACCAAAACAGGCAGAAAGAAGAATGACTGGAAACAACAGTTTGGTTTGGTGGCATCAATACATATTACATGACACCTTCCCATTCTACCAGATAAACAATGTGACTTTCTTAATGCATTAATTGTTCTTTGTGACCATCTGCACTGGCTCATCCTTTATACTCTATTGACTTTATTAACTATCTGTCCACTTATTATTATTAATGACGAGTCACTTGATAAAAGACCTGTTTCATTATATTAATAAACTGCAAACACATATGTAGGCCTTATAAGATTTTATTACTTAATTGATGCAATACCCAACCATCAAGCTCTTTGATTAACCCAAGCTCTTTGATTACAAATGTCTAAAAATCCTTTTAGTACTAATTTTTAGTTTCTCACCAAGTTTATATTCAGCCAAATGATGATTGCTGTCCATCACCTTGTATATATTCTCATTCTGTGGTAACAAGCAATCCAACACAAATGTTGCATGTAAAGTTCAATATTAATACAGTACAAAGTCTTTAACCCGTACGTCCATAATCCAGAATGATCTATAATCTGCACCTCAAAGCTACAAACGTTCTGCACATGCGTAGCGTTTACGTATACACATATACTTTTAGGCATGCGCATAATACGTTTACACATGCGCGTTTAATGTATAACAGACGGTGTAAACTAGGCTAAAATTATCTAATTATCTATTTCAGTAATGTTGCAGATTGTGTTGTTTCTTAATCTTCTAATTGGATTTGGCTTATTACTTTTTGCAGACAGTTAGAGCATTTTTATAAAAAGTAAGCTTGAACTTTTGATTATGTCAAAAAGATTTTCTGGCTCTAGAGCTGCCAAAGGATCTACAAAGTGAAAGCATGTTTCGATGTCCATCAAACAAAAAGTGGAATTGCTACAAAAAATGGATAAAGGCATGAAGAAAGTGACAGAGAGGTTAGTGAAAACAGAAAAATTTTGATTGACAAGTTAGTCGGTATTCTCGGCACCGCAATTACAGGACTGTGTCACTGAACAATTGCAGAACTTTGTAACTGAACAAGAAATTATGTCTGTTTATAGAATTAAAGAGAAAGTATTAGCACATAAAACGAAGCAACTTAAACAACTTACATTGAAAGAAATGTTTAATAAAGTAAACAAATAAATATTAAGCTTTTTTTTTTTTTTTTTTTTTTTTTTTTTGTAAATGTTGATGCTCTTTAGATCATAATTGCTCTTTATTTCATAAATTACGCTTTCATATTTTTAATTTTATAATTTCTGTATGCCAGTTTACCAGATTTAAATTGATGATCTATAACCGGGAAAAATCCCTAATCCAGAATCGCCGAAGTCCCAACGAGTCTGAATTAAAGACTTTGTACTGTAATATGAAGAAATTTAATTTAGGTATGTACTGATTATAATAATTAATGCTTTAGTCAAGATTTGTGAAGCTCAGAGCTCGAGAATTTAGGACGGAAAATTAAGTATGTCTTTACAGTTGATTCATTAATGTGGATCTGAGAGAAACATTCCTTTTCATTAGGGCTGTTACTGCGGCATATGATAAAGACTGGAAAGTTAGGTTTTTTAAAATGAAAACTTTTTTCTCCCTTAAAGTGGAAAAATGGCATTGATCAATGAAGGTTATGAACTCATAAATGTATTATTATTTTCTAATGTGCTATAAAATTTATTTAGAATTTTTCTCAGTGCACTTATATTAATTACAATAATTAATAATTAATACAAAAATATTAACGTAAAATATGTAAAGACTAACTCTTTGAAAAAACTTGAGATAATGAGACAATCTTCCCACTTGCAATTTTTGCAGAAATTTCAGATATGCAAGAGAAAAATTTTCATTTTATGTTTAATATTTTAAAAAATATATTAACATTACAGCTTACCTTTTTACTATATTGCAGTTAAATTTTGCCCCCAATTTTTCAACAAGTGGCTTAAAAACCTGAAGAAAATTTTAAACAGAAAATTAAATTTTAAGTACATAAAATTTTACAGAACTGAATATCAGAACACTATTAAAATAAAAATTTAGAAGAATCAGTGCAAAAATATTGGAAATTTGAAACTGTTTGTTCAATGAGAAAAATTTTAATTTCTAGTGCCAAAGAGAATAAAAATATAAACAATCTTACATGGTACAAAAGAAAAAAAAAAAACTAAAATATATTTAAGTTATTAAAAGGTTGACATAAAAAATTAAAAACTCATAAAGGTATTACCATTATTGTGTGGTCTATTTGAGGTGCCATATCAGCATTTGTGCCACCTCTAAAATGCAATTCTGAGGGTCCATTAGCAAAAAGAAGGCAGGGAAAGGATACTTGAAATAACAACATCACACTCCTAAAATAATTGTTAAATATATATTACTAGTTACCACAAAAATTTTACATACTATCTAAAAATATATAAAAACTTTCTGATGAAATATTTTTTCATATAAAAAAAAAGGACAGATGATAACGATGAAAATCAAGTAATTGCTCATAAATGATTATGAACAACATGCTAAAGCTGATATTTCCAATAAATTCAAAAACATTCTACACTGAAATTACATTTATATCATTGAGATATAAAAACACAGATATCTCTCATTAACTGTAAAGATAATAATTATGTCTCTGTGACTAGTTCATATTTATCATAATACCTACATAATATGGTCTAAAATTTAAATGCTTATTTACTTATATCCATTCAAAGACGTTAAAATTATACACATACACAAACAGAATTTATTAGCCTACAACTCTGAATCAGAATGCTGCAGACATTTCTCAAGCACACTGTGCCTATTAATTTTCTAAAATTTTTTATTAGCCAAACAAATCAATCAAATCTTTGTTCTTAAATAATCATAAGAGCAAAGATAATTATTACAATTTCGCTGTTCGAATTAACATTTTCCATTCGATTTACATTATGAAAAATGAAAATTATTAAACAAAGTATCTGGCTGAATTATTAAACTACAGCTTCTATTTCTTATAATAGCAAAAATAAAAAACATGTGTTATACACAACAAAAAAACATCTTAAAAAGGAAAAAATAAAAAATCGCTAAGAACCCCCCCGCGTAGAAAATAAGAAACCCGTATAAGTCGACCCCCCACTTCCGAAATCGATCGAGAAACTTCGAAAAAATTTTTTAAGTACTACATTTATTCAAAATCATCTGAGAAAAAAAAGTAAATATACGATAAAAAATACCTTGGTAAATAAACAAAATCAAAATCCTTCAACGTCCGATTCATGGTCAGATTCGCCAAACATTTCATAGAACTCTTCTGTCGTCATTGGCTCGTCATCATACATATTTTCAGTCTCGAACTCTGTATTGTTACAATCACTACTAGAGCCTTCGTCGTCATTTTCACTTTCAAAAACAGCATCATCTTCCGTGCCGTCTAGTTCGTTGCTAATACAACATTTTTTAAATGATTTTATAATCATTTCAGAGGGTATTTCGTTCCAAGCATCTTTAACCCACTGAGCAATTAATGTAATATCGGGCTTTTTAATGTTGCCTCCCTTTGTAAATGTTGGTCGACCGGAACTAATCCACTCTGCCCAATATTTTCTAACATTTACTTTGAAGGGCTTATTGAGGCAGACATCTAGGGGTTGAATGACGGATGTCAATCCTCCCGGAATTACGGCCACAGTCGTTTTTAGGTGTTTTGTCACTTCTTCAGAAAATTTTTTAACTTCCGATTCTTTTAATTTTTTATGGCCCGTATAAGTCGACCCCCACTTTGAAGTCTTTTCTTTTTTGTCCAAAATATCTCGACTTTTACGCGGGTATATACGGTATGTATATCGCAATGTATATCATGTAATTTAATCTATTTTACTTGAGCTAATTTAACGCTGGAAGGTTTAGGAGTGCCGTTGATGCCACCGGAGGTGGCAGTACTTGTAATGCTCGCTAGAGTCACAATTTCCATCACGATTCGAGGAATGATGCCGGAATGTTGTTAGTTTTCTAGTTAGTGTGTGGGGTTAATACCTATACTTAGAGTAAATATTACGTGGCCCCATCACTTCTACATAACATAACGTAAACTGATTTAATGGCGTCGTCAAAGGTGGTTAACTTATTTAGAAAGTGAAATATTATTACAAGTGCTTTCGAATTGAGATTTAATTCTTCGGTTCCAGATTAAATGTTCAAAGTTGTTTCCATCCAGAAAATCAACTGCCGATATTCAGAAAATGTGTTTAGATGTTACGTGATATAAAAGGTTTTTGCGTTTCCTTCCGGCTATTCAATTATCGAGTAAGTACTCGATAATTGGTTATGTTTTGAAATCTGAAAATATAATGTAGCACTAATTTATCACGATATCAAATTCAAATGTATAAGTATTCTAAGATTTTATTCGGGGAAGATTAACAATTATTCAATTTTATTGTTATTTTTATAATTTTTGTCAAAAATTTTGAATTATTATTAAGAATTATGGAACTATTTTGCTGACAAGATGAGAATTTTGGAATTATTTTATGAATAAGATTACTGTTTAAAAATTTGAGTTTTAAGAATTTTCTAATTACTTTGAGTATGATGTCTATATGAAATATAAATGAAATAATTATTAAACGGGAGAATATTAAATATTGTTAAAATTTATATAGAAATACCAAATATTTAAGAAATTGAATATTATTATTTCCTCGAAAAAATTCCAGAAAGGATTAATCATGATTTAATTCGTAATAATAAATGAAGGCGTTATCTTTGTTGTTGCGAAGCTAAGTTTCTCTATATTGGCAATAAATGCACTATCCTGCTGTTTCAAATGTAAACAAGCAATGGCCGCCATCAAAAAAAAATTATTAGGCTTATCGGCACTTAAACAACTTTAAAATTGTTGATAATTCTAAAACTATTGAATACAGATTTACTAAAGGGCATAAAAACCTTAACCGGAAGATAAGAACAACATAATTCAATCATTTTTAAAGCAAAAAATGTACAATTTACAAACATATAAGAGTATAGAAACTGAGATCGCTGAGCTGGGTAACAGAGTGGATATATATATAAATATATTTATATACGTTTGGTGCGGCCGATTGCAACCCAATTCGAGGTGCACATCTACATGTTATAGTAGTCCTATATACAAAATTTCAACGTTCTGAGGCTACTCGTTTTTGAGTTATGCGAAATACGTACGTACAGACGTTCATACAGACGCGACGAAAAATTCTTTTCAGAATTAATTTTAAAGCAGTTTTATAATTTTTTTGGAGGAAACGAGTCTTTTATTCTGTCCTTACGTACAGATATCACGCAAAAACATCGTTAAATTGCATTCGATAGTCAAAATGGATATTTTCGTTGAAATAAACTGCCTGAAACTTTTCGCGATTATAATACTTCCTTTTGACTTCGCACCAAGGAATAAAAATAAAGCGATTCAGACGGAAATAACTGGCAGAAAAGATAAAATTTCACAAATACCTATCCCAGTAAGAGAAGTTTTTTGACAGAAGACACTAGAAAAGTTGAGTTTAAGAATAATTTTTTCTGTGATTGGTATTTCTTCTAAACGTCATTTAGATAATGTTATCATTGTCTCCTCATCGCAACCAGCAATACTTTGGCTGAATTTCAATCGAAGTTAGCTAAAATTGATGTATTAAATACAGGAATCCACATTACGAATATGCATTTAACTCGTTCGAAGGATCTTCTGATAGGTTGTGATACACAGGAGCATCAAGAACAGTTTAAACATTTGATATCAACTTCTCCCGAATATTTCGGAACGTGTACCCAGATCGCATATGGATAGAATTATTTTATTTGGAGTTCCTATTAAAGTAACTGAGGCTGCTATCGAATATTCCGTTAAGGAGTTCTTGACGAGAGATAATAATTTAAATTTAAATTTTGTCACAAGCTTTTGTTACAAGCATGCACAGACAATAGTATGAATTTCATTCTACAACTAGACAAGCAGTTTTTGACATGACTGGGTCATCAGGGTGGCGTTTATGTCGTATTCCATTCTTGTAGTTTTCGTAAATATATTCGAATTTTAAGATGCTATGGTTGCCAGACTTTTGGCCAACCTATTCGAAATTTTACAAATTCTTTATTTTGCTCTCACTACGATCATACGCATGATAATTTAGCTTCGAACTGTAAAGAGGGTCCATCTTGTATTAAACTGTTTAAGATCAAATTAAAAAAGCACACACAGTACAACATTTGTCACACTCTAATTCTTTTGCTTGTCCTGTTTTTTTTTTTTTTTTTTTTTTTTTTTTTTTTTTTTTTTTAAAGAGTTACGCTCTCAATTAAAGGCTATGTTTTAAACTAGCAAACTAAATATTATTGCTATATTATTTGTTTGTTTGTGTTTTCTTAGTTTTTGAGAATAATTGTATTTCAACAGGAATATGTTAATTATGAGTGCATTTATTCTATAATTAAGATAAATTATTGCCTAGATAAGAATTGATTTAGATAGATAAATAGGATTGGATTGGATTAGTCAATCATGGTAAAGCACACGAGGGCTATCTGCCTAAAGGGAGAAATGCCTGAGTGGTGGACTTTCTAAGGAAAACTGGTTCGTATACACGTTACACATGGGGAAAACCACGAAAACGCCCATGCAGCCAACCCGTTCGCGCGATTCGAACTTCGGACTGAACTACCAGTGTTCAGCGTCTTTACCGCTCGGCCGCTGGTGAGCGATAGATAAATAGATAATGTTCTTTGAATTAAATTTTACTGCTCTGTTTTTCGTATGAACTATGAATAATGAAATTTGATAATTTATTAATTGTTTATTATTGTTTTGGTTTTTAGACTTGAGAATTTATGAAAAATGAATTTAAATAGCGACCCCCCATTTTTCATGTAATTATGATCTAATTGTCTTGACTGGGATTCAGTTATGTGGCCATTCCTAACTAGCTAAGAACAAAACAAAGATTTGGAACAAAATATGAATTCAAGACTTCACGATTTTAAGAGGTTTCTAATAACTTTCAAACTTGTATTTTTCTTTTATAAATATGGTTGAAGGCAGCAGTTATAACTGCTTAGCTCTCGTATGCATATGTCGCACAAAGTGAAAAGGTGTCATTGATACATATTCTTTGATTTTTGTAACAATTTACTTTGGCTGATACAAAATAAGAGTCGCTGATCTGGCAGTCCACCTAGTTATGGTGGCTGCTGGTTTTACAAATAGATTTTATCTCCGCTGATCACGTACTAATTCCGATTGCTTTCACCTTAGGAACGAAGCATGGAGGTAGGAAGTTAGATACTACCCCATGCTCATAGTCATTTCTTGAGTTTCATGCCATGTATGGCTTTTTTGCAGAAAGCGAGTATTATTATTATTTTTACTAAATACCGCTTTAATGCAAAAATGGGCTTTCTACCGTTCTAATAATACTGGCGACGTATAATTCATTTCTAAAACACATTTCTTATTTTTTAGAAAAACTATACATCTGCATTATGTATAAGTTGTAATTCTCAGTAATTACTTGCTTTCGCTCAGAAACAAATCTTTTTTTTTTTTTTCCTTAATTAGTATGAGTACAAATTCTGATAATATAATTTACGCTTCTTTTCACACATCCTCATATCAAGAAATAAATTTAAGGCAGTTTAATATTCCAGGAAGATGCTAGTATAATTCCCGGGAATAAAATTCGTCAGCGCAGCTGCCTATTCTCAGCGAGTCAACAACAACAAAAAAATCCTGTTCGGCGGCGAAAGAACGAACTTTGCATCTGTTATTTCGTCCATGCGCTTGGGTCACCGCTGAAAGTTTCGTGGTTTCTGGTGTTAACTTTTTCTAAAAGTGTGTATCGGGCACTTTAGACTGTGTATCGGAAATTCTAAAGATATGCACTCTTAAATATTTTGTGATATTGCTGTTGAAATGAATCTTATGGTTTACGTGCGAAGGACGTGATACTTAATACATAAAGGTAACACAAAAAACGTTGAGAAAAAAGCCTCTTAGGACGTAATATAAAATCTGAACACTTTCAGATTTTTTAAAAATATTTTTAACATTATTTTTCTAACATCACCCTCAAATATAACTATAAAAGTGTATGCTTTGAAAAACCTTTTTGCAGGTATAATAATGTGTGTTAACAACGCAAATTATTGTATAAATAACTTGGCAAATTAAATATGTCAATAATTTGACACATTTGTTTCTTTCGTATCAGGGTTAAAATTAAAAATAAGTTTAGAGTGTTTTAGAGTGGACATATTTTATTTTATCTCCGAGAACAGCCTTTTAGGATGTAATTATTAATGCAATATATTTAAGATTCTTCTTACTCAGAATAACTTGATTTGAGTATTTTACAAAATGAATCAAGATCTGAATGGTGCAAATTTTCGTGTGTATTAAGCTGTTTTAATTGCATCTTGCGTAAATAGAGTGAGAATCAGGAAAAGATTCTTTATTTGATGTATTTTCGTTGCCATTGAAAGGAAAAGGCGATAGAAATTTGTTCCTAGTGGATGCGGTGTGACTGGTATATATACAAAACCACTGATTATTTCTCTGAAAAGCGATTCAAAGACTCGCAAGTATATACATATGTGTGTGTGTGTAAATTTTTAATCTGATTTGGCTAATGAATTTATAGTATCCCGAAACTTTTAGAACCATTCAATCACTAAACACTGCACAGAATTCTATTAGTTTTCGATATATTTTCATCTTCTAAAAGTATTTTAAAGTTCTTCTCAAAAATAACATTTTAAACTGCCGTTTATAGAAAACTCGGTTACAATATACTGTTGTATTGGTATCGATGTACATTGGCTTTCGATTTCGCAAATGCACTCGAGGGCTATCTGCTAAGGTAAGGGATACTTTCGTGGAGGATTTTCTAAGGGAAACTGGCTCGTGTGTATACATAGGGAAAACCACGAAAATACACCCAGCCTATTCGCGGAGATCTAACCTTGAAGCGAACTACCAGTCTACAGCGGGCTTACCACTCGACGCTGGTGGACACTTAGGTATTAAAATCCTCTTAGATATTTCTGAACGGTGAGAATGTTATTATCTTTCATTCCAACAAAGAATCTTTTTGGTGTTCGATGAATTACACGCACTTACCACTGAGTATATTTCTTAATCGAGTCTTCTAGTGGGACCATTTGAACAAGAAAGTAAATATTTTAATTCCTTGAATTTGAATTCAAGGAATTATTCAAAAATTTTCGTCAAATTTCGTATTCCCCAGTGCTGTCCGCTTGTAAGTAATCGGTGTGTCCATCTAACAAAATGAAAGATCTATTACTCCTATTGGCGAGTTGGTATTGTACACATACGCCGCCCAGACCGGTGACAGGTGAGAGCAGATCCGAACACCCGGGCGGCTGACTGGGACTATTCGGGTATCGTCCGGAGTCCGTGGTTACCAAACGGCCCGGGTTCGAATCCCGAAGAAGGCTTGGTTGTAACTGACCGTCGCTTCATAGGAGGCAAAGGTGGCCCACCTATTAGGTGCCTCCATAATAAAGTGGTCATATCTTCTGGCCTTAGCAGAGGCCAGCTCGCTATTGGAGAAAAAGAATATTGTATATATACATTTGATATTCCATACTTCCGCTCTGGAAAGGTTAATACGAAACTTTTAAACGAAAGCAGGCCTCGCTGGCGAATTAGAAGACTCATGGTAATCCCTGTGATGGTTCTGTTGGTTTTTCGTATTTCGAGTCTGAAGCATCTAATAATTTCGAAGGATAACACTAAGCGCATTTACATTTGCTGCTTGTTATACGATACTTTATGAACCAAAATTTATATATATATGATGTATCAGCTTTTGTCCGGAATAAATAGATTTGTGAAGATGTAGTCGTAGCTTAAATAATCAGACGATAAATTTAAAAAACAGGATCCATTTATTATATCAGGAGAAATAGCAGTTACAAAATCATATTTCCGGAGTAAATAAAAATGAATTACTTATAACTTTTAGTATGAAGTTTACTGCTTAGTTACATTTAAGAAAAAAGCCCCGATATACCTTTTGCGAGTCTTTTTACAGCCTCTGGAAAGGCGGAGCTTCCAAGAAATGACGTCAGCCAATCCAGTTCGCTTTTAAATACTTCCAGAACATTTTAAAACTGTACGTGTAGAAAAGGCGGGAAAAACAACTTGACTACGGGACTGTGGATTTAATTCCACGTAGTTTCAAATAAGAGAACGTCGCCATTAAAAATGAAAAGAACATACAGTTAGAATTTTAAGTGTATTCTTGACTATGGAATTTTATTATTACATATATATATATAATCATTACAACTACTCATAATTCTGCTGATAACTATACTTAACTTGCAAAAGAATCTACACTCATGTTTATAAATTAAGGATAATGCCAGATCCGACAAATAAAGGTTCAGAAACAAAACAAACGTGATTTATTCAGAACGCCCGTTTATTAAACAAAAGGTAAAGAACAAAAAAGATGGCATAAAGTATCTATGTATGATACCATTCGTAAAAACTGCGACTTTTGCTGACGGGAGCAATTACAAAAAATATCTCCTTTACAAAAACTTAACCTTACACGGTTGGTATGATGGGTAATACATTGCATGTCTCCCCAGACGATGAAATACAGTACGTAACAACGCCTAGGCATTTTGAGTACCAAATTATGGAGCTGATGTTGGGTAAGATTATTACATTCAGCAAACAGTGCTCTCCGAAGTTTCGGTACACATATAGGAGGTGCTTGACGGGCTGCAATTCGTCAGCAAGCATGTCCCACACATGGTCTAATTTTACTTCTTTGTTACTGTTCCTTATGTATACACTTCTCTTACACTCTTGGCATTCTGACGTTATATCGCCTTCATCTGATGGCTTCCTGTAATTTGCATATTATTCTTGAAGATGCGTGGGATAATTCAACGGGTGAAATTTTCACTTTAGAGTTCGATTTACGTGTGGTCCTGAATTATCCTTAATTTATTAAGTTAAGTACCATTTCCACTTATGGACATGGGTGTATTTTAGTCAATTGAAAAATAGCTCTCCATGTTGGAGAAGAGAACACATCTGTACATTGCTTGTTTATTCTGTGTTTGTTTAACGGTGAAGGGTTTGTACTAAAGCATGTTTTCCTGAGAAAGCTCTGTACACATGTATTGCCTTTTAAACAATAAATAGCGTGGTTTCAGTAACCAATGAACCAAAAATATTTTAAACACGTAAAAATGGAAAACAAAATTACCTATGTTTTGGGAGCATACTTTCTCTTTTTTCCAATCCTGTATATTGAATAGATAAATTCATTGTATGATTTAAAAGGACTCAAATCGTTTTTCCTCCTCCATTCGGTACATACATGAGAATAATACAGAGTGTAAATAAACAAAAGCCAAAAATTTAAATGTGCAGTAGCAACAATATTAGCATTTTATAGAAGGCTACAAATCATTAATAAGACATACAATGAAACAATACACCGAACAGCCAAAACATCCTGACCACCTACTAAACAACGCTTTGCACGAGCTTTGGTCTGCAAAACGGCTGCAACTCGCATTTTGCATGGATGCCACAATTTCTTGGTAGATAACTGGAGACAGGTTGTGCCAAATGTCGAAGCAGGTGTCGCACAAAGTCAAGATATTCCGACATAGTGATGTTTGAGCTCTGAGCTGCCGCTCCCTGCTATCCCACATTGCTTTATGGGGTTAAGATCCTACGAGTTAGATGGCCAGGGCATAACTTGGAAATCATCTTTATGCTTCTCGAAGCATTGCAATACAATTCGAGCCTTCTGACATGGGGCGTTTTCCTGCTAGAAGATTCCCTTTCCACTGGGAAAGACAGGCACCATGTAACATAGCAACTGATCTGCAATGATGTTCAAACATCCACTGCTTTCATGATCTGTTCTACCACAACTAAGGCTCCCAGAGCAGCTCATGAGAACGTCTCCGAAAGCATCATACTGTCACCACTAGCCTGTTTGTGACCTGCTGTACAGGAAGGAGACCTGGAAGACGGTGTACCCTGACACGACCATCGACGTGATGAATGAGAAATCGTGATTCATTCCACCAGGCAAATACCTTCCACTTATCCATGGCCCAGTCTCCATGTTCCCGGGGCCACTGAAGGTCTAGTTGACAATGACATTGGTCAAAAGAAGGCACACGAGTGGAACGTTTGTTGTGCAGTTGCATGTGTGCAGTGTTCCCTGCACTGTGTGTTCCGAAATACTTGCATTTGAATCTGCATTGTCAGATGAGCGTCGCCAATTTTGCTGTGTCAAGCATCTCATACATCTTTTTCGTTGTCTCATACATCCGTAGTCTCATGCATCGTTTTCGTTGATGACGTGTAGACGGTGGACACCTTGACGCCTACTGCTGGTTTCGCCGTCATTTATCCCTTTTGCATAAAATGTTAACAATGGCAGATCGTGAACAACATACCAGTCGTGCACTTTCGGAGATAATCGTTCTGAATCTTCGGGATATTACAGTTTACCCATTACAATCCGCTTAGATCATCAGCCCTTCCCATCGGTCGCAAAAGTAAGTGCAAGAGGGATTCCTTACCTTCTCGAGCAGCAGTTAAATACCATTTCCACTTAATCACGAGCCCTCCATGTTATCCAACCGAATTCAATGAGAAATGTGGCGATAGTCTTAATGTTTTGACTCGTCAATGTATATTAAATGCTTGTAATATTATGTTATTTTTAGAAAATTGAAGTTTCAATACTTTCCTTAAATTGCATGCGCTTTTGTTTATATAGCTGCGAGTGTCCAGATAACACAGTGTGTAAGCAATATCGACATAACCTTTTCATATCTGCATATGAATATCGCTGTAGCCCTGAGAAAAATGAGGCAGATTCTGCTTTCCAAGAAGAATCGAAAAACAACACTGGCCATGATGACTCAATTCCACAGGACGCAGTGGTAGAGCTCATGAGGAATGTGGAAGAGCTTGCCTTAAAAATGAAACAGCTCAGCACAGTAGTACAGCAGTTCATTTCAGTTATTAAAGAGTGAGAAAAGTTATTGTAAAGAAGCGCCTTCTCATGTATATGAAAATTTCTCATTGAATAAAGTTGCTTTATCACATTTTTTAAATTCTTTTTTGATTAATCTGACAAATATGCAATATCACTATACAATATTAGCCCAATTTTAATAAATTAAAGTCCAATAAACTGTTTATTGAATGTGACTACTCTTTAGCATTTTCACAGACACTATTGAACTCTGTAGACATGTGTTCAATTAAAACACTTCCTCTTCCTATTTTATTCCTAATATTCAGATTATAAATCTACCTATGTTTATAAGGTATTTCTCCCGCCTTTGTGGTGAAGTGGTCAGCACGCTGGCCGCGTGTTCCAGAGATCTGTTGTTCCATTCCCGGCGAAGGCGTCGTTCATTTTTCATGACTCCGGCTTCCAAAAAATACTTTGTAGAGTCATTAGGATTTTTTCAGAGGCAGAAAAGATGAAAAATAGCAACCGCCTTCGCCGGGAATCGAACCACGGACCTCTGGATATCGGCCCAGTGTGCAGAATCACTACACCACGAAGGCTCGCTTGGAAAGTGGGAGAAATACCTTATGTACTCCCCTTTTTAAAGGGCGACTAGGGTTTTAGGGAAACTAGTCGCCAAATCCTGGGTGCGGAGAATCATCATCCACAACCCTTTTAGTTCGGGCGCCACTTGTAGAGTCATTATGTTAATTGGAAGCAGAAAAGATGAAAAATATGCAACCGCCTTCTCCGGGAATCGAACCACGGACATCTGGAATACCGGCCTAGCATGCTGAACCACTACACCACAAAGGCACGCTAGGGAAGTGGGAGAAATACCTTATAAAGTGCATCACAGTCTAGAGCGTTTTATTATGTCTTAAGTGTCCAATCATGTGTGCCAGTTATCACCACTTGGCTCTGAATTCAAAATTTCTTATACCACAAAACTGTACTTCAATCAATAAATCACTAGGTCTCTAGTTCCACTTTCGTTGTTCTTTCTCATTCATGAGATACGAATGACCCTTATAAAATTTAATTCTTTCTGTTCTGCTTAATGTCAATAGTTTGATGCAAAGTTTCTTCTTTCTTTTAATTTATCCTTCAGTTCCCAGTACCGTAACTCTAATTAGTTTCCCATTCTTTTCTCTAATGAAAACTGAATGTATGACAACAATTAATTTGTTCTGTTTTGTAGGGAAGTTTATCGCCAAAACTCCCTCATAGCCTCTATTTCGTTTACTTTCCTCTAAAAGACCTTAACTCCCTCAGCTGTGTCTCTGCAAAACACACCCACAAGAGATCCTGTAATGCACTGGAACAAAAGGTTACCTAATTAAGGGGGAGCTCCTATGCACCAATTGTTCTCTCAAAGCAAACAGAAAATTATCACTTACATGGAATGAGCTGTTTGAGCTCTTTCTAGTACATAATAAAAGGATTTGCGAAAATTATCTCATAAGGTTTCTTGGTAATGTTTTCCTATTTTTGAAGTAACTGATTAAGATTAGAAATCTTAAATGAGAGCCGTCCTCGTATTACTATGGTTCTTTAAGGTTAACATTAAATCTAAATATCCTTATCCACGGTACATTTTATATATATATATATATATAAACCAATAGTTAATAATAATTTTAATTTACTTTTAAATACTTTATTATGTAATAATAAAATTCCATAGTCAAAAATACAGTTAAAATTCTAACTGTATGTTCTATTCAATTTAATGGCGACGGTCTCTTATTTGAAAGCACGTAGAATTAAATCCACAGCCCCGTAGTCAAGTTGTTTTTCCCGCCTTTTCTACACTTACAGTTATAGAATGTTCTAGAGATATTTAAAGCGAACTGGAATGGCTGACGTCATTTCTTGGAAGCTATGCCTTTCCAGAGGCTATAAAAGGACTCGCAAAGGAATTTCGGGGTCTTTTCTTTAATAAACTTCATACAAAAAGTTAGTAGCTCTTTTTTATTTACTCCGGAGATCGGATTTTTGTAACTGCTATTTCTCCTGAATAATAATAAATGGATCCTGTTTTTTAAACTTATCGTCTGATATTTTGAGCTACAACTACGTCTATGATTCTTCACCAATCTATTTATTCCGGACAAAAGCTGGTACATCACACACATATATATATATAGAGTTAAAAAACAATTTAAAAAAATAATATAATCATGCCTAGTATTTTCGCACATTAAGCTGCTGAAAAATTATCAATAAAGATATAATGTAAGAAATTTAGTTTCAATTTTTCACAAAGACGCAATATTGAAATTGATAAGAAATAAATTTATTTAAATCCTATAAATATAAAAGCAATTTAATACATGTTAAAACTAAAATATTTCAAACAAAAGTAATACTCTGATTCAAAAAAATGAATGAAATTTAAAGAATAAAGAACATAAAAGAAGAAGAATTCAATCAACTTCAGTGCCACTTCGTCAGGAGGAGAAACACTGAAATTAATTGATATCTCTCTTAAAAATAAAAAATCTTGGTTTTACAGAATTAGCCGATGAACCAGTCCTATGTATTTTAATTATAATAGTTCACCCGAAAATTCTGGCCCCTTCTCAAAGCAAGGAAAAAACAAATTCAGATCAAAATTTTACTTCTAAACAAAGAGAGAGAAAGAATCAACAGAACTGAAAACGTAAGTGAAATTATAATTATAAAATTCTTTATCCTTTAAATTTCATTCATTTTTTTAATTAGGTTTATTACTTGTTTGAAGAATTTTAGTTTTGACATTTAGTAAATTATTTTTTACATTTATGGGATTTTATGAAATTTATAACTTATGAATTTCAATTTTTGGTCTTTGGGAAAATGTTTTTACTAAATTTCATGCTTATATATAAATAATAAAAAGGTGCTGTAAGTTTGGTTTATATTTATGATACCAAACTGAGGTGATTTATTAATAAAATAAGCATAAAATGTAAACCACAATAATTTCGTTTTATGGCGTAGAGCTTTAACAAATCTGTATTGATATCGAGGTTATTTGATAAAGGTCTCTTCTTTTCAGATGTAAAGCAGTTTCCGACTTTAGTTACAAACAAAAATGTTCTTGCTCCTGAAAAACACGGATCTATGTCCGATCGCCCTCGAAATCCTCACCTGCTGCTGAGCGGTAAAGTCGCTGAACACTCATAGTTCGGTCCAGAGTTGGAAAACCGGCGCTGGCTGCATACGCGTTTTCGTGTTTTTCCTCGTGTGTAACGTGTCTACGACCCAGTTCCCCTGATAAATTCCTCAACAAAGGTATCCCACACATTAGGCAGAGAGCCCTCGCGTGCTTTGCCGTAATTAAATAAACCAAACGAAATCTATAAATTTTTATTAAAAATATGCGCCAGACAAGGGTTGCTTTTTTTCTATAATTTTACATTCGCGTGTTCCTCTTCCAGATTGATCTCAGCAAAGTTTTTAGCGTAAGAAGCGAATCAAATAAGGTGATCCTTTAAACTACGGCACTTTTGGTCACGTGATATTGTTTAATTAAAGTATACATAAAATCAACTCTGAAATAAGTTCAGCAGAAAAAGGAGCAGCAAGGAAAGGTTTCTGATTTTGATAATACGAGAATAAAGCTTGCTTTGCTTACTTCTGTTATATTTCGAAAAGAAATTCCTAAAATAGGAATTGATTTTGATGATACGAGAATAAAGCTTGCTTTGCTATCAAAATCATCCAAAGTATCATTAATTAAAATTCTAGTAAAGTTATGCGAATATTCCTAAGGATAAGTACTTCTGTTATATTTCGAAAAGAAATTCCTAAAATAGGAATTTCGATGATACGAGAATAAAGCTTGCTCTGCTATCAAAATCACCCAAAGTATCATTAATTAAAATTCTAGTAAAGTTATGCGAATATTACTAAGAATGGGTACTTCTGTTATATTTCGAAAAGAAATTTCATAAAATAAGCATTTTTGATGATACGTATTATAAAGCTTGCTTTGCTATCAAAATCATCGAAAGTATCATTAATTAAAATTCTAGTAAAGTTATGTGAATATTCCTAAGGATAGGTACTTCTGTTATACTTCGAACGTGTCTACGACCCAGTTCCCCTTATAAATTCCTCAACAAAGGTATCCCACACCTTAGGCAGAGAGCCCTCGCGTGCTTTGCCGTAATTAAATAAACCAAACGAAAT